CAGAAGGCAAAGGTTGCAGTGAACTGAGATCAGTCCACTGCCCTCAGGCCTAGGCAACATAGTGAGACTCGGTCTCATAAAAAAAAAAAAGCTGGAGAAGGATGGCTCATGTCTATAATCCCAGCACTTTGGGAGGCCAAATGGGGAGGATCTCTTGATTCCAGGTCCTCAAGACCAGCCTGGGCAATATGGCAGAAACCCATCTTTACAGAAATTACAAAACTTAGCTGGGTGTGGTGGCACATGCCTATAGTCCCAGCTACTCGGGAGGCTGAGATGGGAGGATGGCTTAAGCCCAGAAGTTGGAGGCTGCAGTGAGCTGGGCAACAGAGCGAGACCCTGTCTCAAAAAAAAGTGGGGCAGATGACTAGGCAGAGCACAGAGGGTTCTTAGGGCAGTGACACTATTCTGAAGGATACTGTAACAGTGGATGTGTGACATCCATCTGTCCAAACCCAATGGGTGAAATGCCAAGGGTGGGTCAGCTGTGGGCTTTGAGTGATTGTGAGGTGGCCATGGGCTCCTCCACTGTAGCCAACACAGCAGTCTGGTGGGGATGTAGATAGAGGGGGAGGCTGTGCATGAGTGGAAGCAGGCTGTATATGTGAACTCTATACTTTCTATTGTTTTTCTGTGAGCCTAAAGCTGCTTTCAAAAACAGGCTTTATTAAGAATTAATTTCACCTGGCCAGGCATGGTGGCTCATGCCTGTAATCCCAGCACGTTGGGAGGCTGAGGCAGGAAGATCGATTGAGCCCAGGTGTTTGAGACCCGGCTGGGCAACATGGCGAAAACCCATCTCTATAAGAAAACACAAAATTTAGCCGGGCGTGGTGGTGCCTGCCTGTAGTCCCAACTACTCGGGACGCTGAGGTGGGAGGATCTCTTGAGCTTGAGAGGTAGAGGCTGCAGTGAGACATGATCGCCCCACTGCACTGCGGCCTGGACAAGAGTGAGACCTTGTCTCAAAAATAGAATAAAAGACTAAAGATGAAAAGCGCTGTGGCTGCTGGGTGGGAAGACAAGGGAAGGGACAAAGGAAACCTTAAGGTTTCTGCTAACTCTTCCCAAAGAATTGGAAACAATCTTTACCAAATGTTTCATTTCCTTTTACACTCCCCTCCTGCAATGCAGTTCACCAAGCAAACTGTTCCTTATTCTTCCTTAGAAACCCCGCCCCCTTAGAAACCCCGCCCCCTCACAATTGTTCTTAACCTCCTGAAGTCTTATCACCCTCCACCCACCACACAAAAACACAGGAAGGAATTACTTAAATACAATGCAGGATTACTTAAATCTGAATGAGTATCGATTACCTATTCCTATATAATTAATAAATAAATAAATAGACAACATTTCCCTGTTGTCATACAGGCTGGAATGTAATGGTGCAGTCTTGGCTCACTGCAACCTCCACCTCCCAGGTTCAAGCGATTCGCTTGCTTCAGCTTCCCAAGTGGCTGGGACTACAGGCACGCACCACCACACCCAGCTAGTTTTCGCGTTTTTAGTAGAGAGGGGGTTTCACCACGTTGGCCAGGCTGGTTTTGAACTCCTGATCTCAGGCGATCCACTCGCTTCTGCCTCCCAAAGTGCTGGGATTATAGACATGAGTCACTGTTGCCTGGGCAAATATATTTCAAAATGGGGTTTCACCATGTCGCCCAGGCTGGTCTCCAACTCCTCGGCTCAAGCGATCCACCCTCCCCTCTGCCTCCTACAGTGCTGCCTCTACAGGCACCTACATGTTTCTGACAAGAATAGTGCATAGGTATCTCATAATGCCTGATTGTTTCACTATTAGATAAGTTTAATCATGGTATTAAGATAATCACAGCCTTTTCACTCCATGGTAGACATTCTTTTCCCTCGCCTTCCCCCAACCTCCATGATTAGGACGTGTTCTGTGGGGTGATACTTTGGTGTCACACGGATCTTGTTTCCCACCCACCTCTCTCACCTGTGGTATTGGCATCACTGGTGATCTCTACCTGAATCCTTTTTATTTCAGTGATTTTGAATATATTCCTTCTACTGGCATTCACCTGTTAGATATCCCCCCTGTTTTTCACCTGGTACAGTTTCTACGTCGTGTCTCTATGGATTTGGCTGTTCTGAACATCTTATGCAAATGGAATCATACCCTGTGTGGTCTTCTGTGATTGGCTCCCTGCACTTCACACATTTTCCAGTTTCATCCTCATTGTAGCATGTGTCAGTATTTCAGTCCTTTCTATGGCCAAATAGTAATCCATCGTATGTCTATGCCACATGAATTTTGTTCATTCATTCATCAGTGTTGGACATTTAGGTAGTTTTCACCTTTTGACTATTATCAGTAATACTGCTATGAACATTTGTGTACAAGTTTTTGTGCGGACATTTCAGTTGGGTACATACCCAGGAGTGGAATTGCTGGAGTCAAGTGGAAACTCTGTATTTACCTTTTTGAGGAATGATCAGTGTTTTCCCAAGTAGTCACACCATTTCACATTCCCACCAGCAGTGTGTGAACACTCGAATATCTCTGCATTTTTGGCAACACTTGCTATTATCAGGCTTTTTAACTGGAACCATCCTACTGGGTGATAGTGGCATCTCACTGTGGTTGTCATTTACATTTCCCTGATGGCTAATGATGCTGGGCATCTTTGTTATTTCTAACTCTTCTTTGGAAAAATATCTATGTGGATCCTTTCCCCAGTTTTTGTCTTTTTCTTAAGTTGTAGACGTTCTTTAGAATGTCTTCTAGACGTTTCTTCTAGAAACAAGTCCTTTATCAAATGTGATTTGCAAATACTTTCTCAGACTCTTTAGTTGGTCTTGTCTTTTTACTTTCTTGGTGGTGTCCTTCCAAGCACATACATGTTTAATTTTTTTGTTGTTGTTGCTCATGTTTTCAATATCAGACCTAAGAGGTGATTGCAAATCTGAATTTATGGAGATTTACCCTATGTTTTCATTTCCTTCATTCCTTCCTTCCCTCCTTCCTTCCTTCCTTCCCTCCCTCCTTCCTTCCTTCCCTTTCTCCCTCCTTCCCTCCCTACCTCCCTCCTTCCTTCCCTCCTTCCTTCCTTCCTTCCTTCCTTTCTTTCTTCCTTCTTTCTTTCAACAGTTTCACTCTTGTCGCCAGGCTGGAGTGCAGTATCACATTCTCAGCTCACTGCAATCTCCTCTGCCTCCCGGGTTCAAACAATTCTCCAGCCTTGCCTCCTGAGTAGCTGGGATTACAGGCATGCGTCACCATGCCCAGCTAATTTTGTATTTTTAGTTGAGATAGGATCTCACCATGTTGAGCAGGCTATTCTTGAATTCTTGACCTCAGGTGATCTACCCACCTCAGCCTCCCAAAGTGCTGGGATTACAGGTGTTAGCCGCTGCACCTGTCTATCCTATCCTTTTTTTTCTAAGAATTTTATAGTTTTCGCTCTTAATGTCTCAGTCTTTGATCCATTTTGAGTTAACTTTGTGGCATATAGGACTCCTGGTTGATGGGTGTTTTGGGTTTTGTTGAGCACCTTGATAATATCCTACTCCCTCTGGCCTCCATTGTTTCTGATGAGAAGTCAGCTGTTAATCTTTTGGGAGTTCCCTTGTTAATGATGAGTCATTTTTCTCTTGTTGCTTTCAGATTTTTTCCTAGCCTTTGGCTTTAAACATTATTGAAACTGTGTTTTATTTTACACAGCAGATCCAATCACGTTCAGGATCTTCTGAAGGGAGTTTCTGAGGAAGGTCTTTGTGATTTGTTCTGATCACAGGGGTGTTTTTCTATTTGTGTAGATCTTTGGGTTTATCTTATAGGGATTTCACTGGGCTTCCTGGATGTGGACATTAATATCTTACAATAAATTTGGAAAACTTTGAGCCATCGTTGTTTTAGTATTTTTTCTCCCTGTTCTTTCTCTCCTCTCTTTCCTGCTCTCCCATTATATAACTTGGTAGGGCCCCATATTTCCTGTGACTACATTTTTCTTCAGTCATTTTTCTCTGTTCTTCAGATTGCATAATGTCTGCCAGTCTATCTTCAAGTTTGCTAATCCTTCCTCTTGCAAGTTCAAACTACTCTTTTTTGTTTGTTTGATTTTTGAGACAAGGTCTCCCTCTGTTACCCAGGCAGAGGTAATCACAGCTCATTGCAGCCTCGACTTCCCAGGCCCAAGCAATTCTTCCACTTCAGCCTCCTGAGTAGCTGGTACTAGAGTCATGCACCACCACACTGGATTATTATTATTATTATTATTTGAGATACATTCTCGAGGCTGGGCATGCTCAAGCCTGTAATCCCAGCATTTTGGGAGGTTGGGGTGGGTGGATCATTTGAGGCCAGGATTTCAAGACCAGCCAGGCCAACATGGCAAAACCCCATCTCTACTAAAAATACAAAAATTAACAGGTGTGGTGGCTGTAAGGTTGACTGAAAGGATGGGGAGGCAGACCCAGGGTCAGGTGTAGCCAGTTTGTTTCAACCTGCCAGACTGGCTGCTTCACCATAGGCGGTGAAGGTGGCAGCAGCCTGGCTTACAGACTATGGGGGATATACAGGGGGTTTGCAGGTGGCTGGGTGCTATTCTAAGAAAAACCGCCTCGTGGTTCTTCAGTGCTAACATCCTACTTAATGGGGTCACCATCCTGGGTCCGAGAGCCAGATGCAGCCACATCCTGGAACCTAGGTGCCCTGTTTGCAAGGCATGAGGCTGTTTTCGCTGTGAACTTGGCTTAGCAGGGGAGAATGGGGAGGGGGGTCTATGAGCTTGCCTTGCTGTGATCCTAACAGTGGCAGACACCTGTAGTCCCAGCTACTCAGGACGCTGAGGCAGGAGAATCTCTTGAACCCAGGAGGCAGAGGCTGCAGTGAGCTAAGATTGCACCACTGCACTCCAGCCTGGATGACAGAGCAAGACTCTGTCTCAAAAAAAAGAGAGAGAGAGAATTGAGACAGTCTTCCTCTGTCACCCAGGCTGGTGTGATCTCAGCTCCTACTGGTCCGGCACCCATAACCCGCCAAGGTCTCTTACTGCAGTGCCCTCCCCCAGCCACTCCTCTTTCCAGACCCAGAGAAGCAGCTCCTCTGAAACATCTCTCCTCCCACCGGAGGGACCAGTCACCCCTTCCTCAGCCACATCTTCAGAGCCGCCCCCTTCCCACTGTTTGTCACTGCATCCTCTCTCTAGGAGGGGCTTCCCGTTCTGCCCGGCACAGGGTCTGGCCCACAGGTGCTGATACATGACAACAGAATAACTAAATCTCTTCACCAACAAGAAACACTCGTGAGTACCGACTGTGTGTCGGGTAGGCCCTGTCCTAAGGGTTGTCCTCAGGTATGTAACTTCTAGTTGGGGAAGATGAGCAGAAACTCCCAGTTTATGCTCTTCTCCCCTACTCTGCACTTCCCAGGGGACGGGGCTGGAAGCCTCCTGCAGCCAGAATGGAACTGGGTGGGGAGGAGGGAGAGTGGCTGAAGGCAAAGGCCAAGCTGAGAAAGGTCCAAGCCCACGGCTGGCTGGGGGCCCTAGTCAGGACTCAAGTTTTGTGAAAGGGAGAAAAAAAAAAGCAACTCCCACCAAAGCAACAGTTAGTTTAGAGCCTGATGATAAACGTGCCACTGAAAACGTTTCCTTCCTTTATTCTTCTAGAACCAGAGAATTCTTCCTGAAAGAGATGGCCCCTGAGGCCATTGAGAAGCATCTTGGGGTGGAGTGGAAGCGGTCCTGAGAGCTGGTCTTGCTGTCCCTTGTCCCCCAACCCCAGGTGACATGAAGCCAAGCTCCAGAGAAGAGCCGGGCCCATGGGGTGTTTGGATTTTACTCCAAGTCTAATTCCCAGTCCGGTGCCCCTGCCTCCAGCGGCTCTACTTCCTCTGTCTGCTTGGCCTAGGAAGGGGTGCGTGGCAGAGTGCGGGGCATGGGGAGAGAAAGTGAGGCCCAGGGGAAGCCCCAGGAGGGCGGTGTGGTGCATTCGGCTCTGGCCCCTGTCTGGGTTCAGGCCTCCAAGTAGGTCCTCCTGTTTGCTCATCTTCTGAGGCCCGGGGCTTCTTCAGAGCCTCCATGGGTCCCACCCCGGCACCCATCACATGGTGTCTGGCCCCTGCCTGGCTCACACCCCCACCCCCACCTGCTACCCTATTTCTATCCCTAGGACACCCCGCTGGGCACTGCTGTTCCCTCTCATAGAAGACTTTTACAGGCCCTGCTCATCCCTTTTGCCAATCAAGTGAATGTCACCTCCTCAGAGAAGCCCTCCCTGAGCACCCCATCTGCAGTAGGGTCACCCCGTCTTCCACCCTCACTTTTCCTGGTGTTTCCTTGCTAGCCCCTGTCCCTGTGGGGAGTTTTCTGCACTGATAGACTAGTCTTCCTTAACCACCCAGGGGCCAGCGTGTCTGTCTTCTCTGTCCCTGTGCGTGGGAGATGCTCAATGATCATTTGTCAGCAAAAATGAAACAGGAAGACCCCTGAGGTGCTGGGATTAAGAGCCATTCACCCCAGGTGAGGAAGGAGCTTTGAGGAACGGGAGAGAACCCGAGTTAGTGCCCCCTGCCCACCCTGAGGGTCAGCCCCATGCAGGGTGGACCAATGAGCCTTGGGGTATCTGTAACCAAAGATGGTTCTTGATAAGTGACCATTTCTTGCAAATCTTGTAGTAGCATTGGAAAGGTGGCAGGTGGGTGGCTGATACTCTGCTGTTTTGTGCCCTCCCTGCATAGAACAGGGCTGTGCATACCCTAGTTTGTGTGGCATGCAGTCATGTGGTCCTCACTGTTACTCAGAAACACTGAAAAAAAAAGAGACCTTAGTCTTTTCCTTTCTCTATTTCTTTCTTATTTCATTCTTTTTTCTTTTTCTTTCTTTCTTTCTTTTTTTTTTTGAGACAGAGTTTTACTCTTGTTCAGGCTGGAGTGTTATAACGCAATCTTGGTTCACTGCAACCTCTGCCCCCCAGGTTCAAGTGATTCTCCTGCGTCAGCCTCCCAAGTAGCTGGGATTACAGTCACGTGCCACCACGCCCAGCTAATTTTTTGTATTTTTAGTAGAGACAGGGTTTCACCATGTTGGCCAGGCTGTTTTCGAACTGACCTCTGGTAATCTGCCCGCCTCTGCCTCCCAAAGTGGGAGGATTACAGGTGTGAGCCACCGCACCCGGCCTTCTTTTTTTTCTTTTCTCACTCTGTCACTCAGGCTTGAGTGCAGGGACACTATCTCAGCTCGCTGCAGCCTTGACCTCCAGGGATCATGTGATCTTCCTGCCTCAGCCTTCCCGGTAGCCAGGACTGCAGGCGTGCACCACCACACCCAGCTAATTTTTTGTATTTTTAGTAGAGACTGCGTTTTGCCATGTTGCCCAGGCTGATCTTGGACTTCTGGGCTCAAGCAGTCTGCCTGCCTTGGCCTCCGAGAGTGCTGGAATTACAGGAGTGAGCCATCGCACCCAGCGGTCTTCTCATTGTTCTGCCATCAGCAGCCACTTCGTGTGACTCCCCAGCCTCCTCAGCTTCCACTGTTTTTCCATCACATGCAGAATAAAACCTAAAGGCTGGCCCCCAGCTGCCCTCCTAACCTTGTTTCTTATCACTCTCCCATTGGCTCCTCCTGGACCAACCTCACTCCTTGCTGACCTCAAAATCACCCTGTACTTGGCTGTGGGAGGAACGCCACGGTCACTGTTCCCAAAGCGCCACCAGGGGGCTGACGCCACACTCCCTGCAGGCCTCTGCTCCGACACCACCTCCCTAGAAGGACTCAGCCAGCACCATGTGAAGTACCCATTCGGTGAAACACACTAAATATTTTCAGTCACTTCTGCTCTTAATTTTTCTAGCAGTTACTCAAAACTCTAAACATGAGTAAGCCCCGTACTTCCGGATTTACGATTTCATGAAAGTTGAAGACTTAGCTCACTTTTACCATGCCCTGGCTGCATTCATTGTAACTGTTTCTCACCTCCTGTGTGAACTTCAGGAGTCGCCTTTATAACTCTGCACCTGTCTTCTCAGCTCTGTTTTGGGAGCCATCATGGGGAGATGACATCTGTGTACCACTCATGAGTCCCATAGCCACTGACAGCTTATCCGAGGAGATCGGGCGTTCGGGGTGGTGTGGCCGAGACCCCACTGACAGCTTTACATGGCCATTGACTGTCCAAATTCTGTCAACTATAGTGTTTAAATTGTTTTATTTATATTTTCTGTAAATCCAGTTGAGCTTTTCATGCTTTGTGTGCTGATTCAGAAAAGTAAAATAAGGAAAGTGAAATCAATAACCAGCACTTAGGCTGATATCATTATGCAACTTCTCCTGCAGATCCAAGACCTAAGATTGGACACAATGAATCCACACCAGCCCTGCGTCAAACTGCTTACCATCCATTCTATGTTTAAAGTCGTGCTCATGTTACTTGGTCTCATATTTGGTCTGACTTTCTAGCACAGATCTATCGTGCTAGACTATGTAATTGTCTTACTTACAGTTTTGACGTAACAGGCATATGGATTTCCCCTCATTACTAAGAGTCCTAATTGTAGCCTCTTAAGTTAATTATGACATATTGAACACAAAATCCACTTTCTCTGTGAAATCTCTCTTTGTGGGGCTCCTTGAATTCTTTTTCTAAGAAAGAAAGAGAAAGGATGAAAGAAAGACGGAAGAGAGAGAGACAGAAAGGAAGAATGAAAAAAGAAAGAAACTTAGGTCAGCTTCTCTTCCCCTTCCCTTCTCTTCCTTTCCCTTCCCTTCCTTTCCCTTTCCTTTCTTTCTCTTTCCTTTACTTTCCTTCTTTTCCTTTTTTAATTTCCTTTTTCTTTTTCTCTCTCTCTTCTTCCTTTCCCTTCCTTTCCTTTTTCCTTTCTCCTTTCCTTTCCCTTTTTCCCCTTCCCTTTTTCTTTCCCCTTCCCTTTCTCCTTTCTCCCTCCCCTCCCATTTCCTTCTTCCCTTCCCTTTCTTTCCAGGGTATCACTTTGTAACTCAGGCTGGAGTCCAGTGCTGCCATCTCAACTCACTGAAACCTCTACCTCCCAGGCTGAAGTCATCCTCCCACCTCAGCCTCCTGGGTTTACAGGTGTGTGCCACCACAGCCAGTTAATTTTTACATTTTTTTTTTTGTAGAGACAGGGTTTCACCATGTTGTTCAGGCTGGTCTCAATTTTCTGAGCTCAAACGATCCGCCAGCCTCGACCTCCCAAAGTGCTGGGATTACAGGTGTGAGCCACTACTGTGCCCAGTCAGATCGGGCACTTTCTAGACCTTCCTAAAAGCTGTGTCTTGGATTTTGCTTTCCTCTACTGCTAGGTGAGGTCCATACAGCTACCCATGACTAACTCTGAAAGCTATTGATACATGGCAGTGCACTGAGAAAGTTCACACCTCACAGTGAATTAAAGAAATATGAGCATAGTCTGGGTGCAGTGGCTCACGCCTGTAATCCCAGCACTTTGAAAGACTGAAGTGGGTGGATCATGAGGTCAGGAGATTGAGACCATCCTGGGCAACATGGTGAAACCCCATCTCTACTAAAAATACAAAAATTAACTGGGCGTGGTGGCTCAAGCCTGTAATCCTAGCTACTTGGGAGGCTGAAGCAGGAGAATTGCTTGAACCAGGGAGTCAGAAGTTGCAGTGAGCCGAGATCATGCCATTGTACTCCAGCCTGGTGACAGAGTGAGAGTGAGAAAAGAAATGAAAAGTATGAGTATAAATTAAATAACTGGTGTCATTGGCCCTCCATATATCTTTTTTCTCCAAAAATTATTAATAAATAACAAAGTACGGTTATTTTGTATGCCAGTGCATACAGATTTTAACATTTGGATATATATTTCTTTGAAAGCTAGGATATGTTTTCTAATGCTCTTTCATTGAAGTCAGCTCCTAATATTCAGCATAAATATGAGTTATGAATCCCAGTATGTACCTGAGCCTCACTCTCCCTCCCCGAGCACCACACCCTGCCCTGGGCCCTTCTTTGGCACATGGACAGATGCATGGGACCGCTGGGGGTGGGAGTGCTGGACTGGGAATCAGACTTGGAGTATAATCCAAATGGCCCACGAGCACACAGCTTGAGCTGCCCCAGTGGGTTTCCGTGGCAACCTCAAATCAGACTCTGCTCCTTAGTTGGCCAGCACCTATTAAGAGTTTTCCACTTTGGGCGATGGTATTGGTGGTGGCACTTCCAGGAGGGACACAGCAACTTAGCAGAAGGACAGACTCACAGGGGCTCTTGGGGAGCTCAAGTGGGGCCCACAGAGACCTTCTCTCTGGGGTTCCAAACTGGCATTTAGAAGGAGATTCAGTACTCACACCTGGGGTGTTTCAGAATATTCAGGAGACCAGAGAGACCAATGGGTGAAACAGGAGGATTTTATTAAGGTGGCCACTGGCTCAGCCGATTAGCATCCCAAGATTGAGCAAAGGAGAAAGAAAATGGTAGACTTTTTATACATCCAGGATGACGTAACACAGGTTTGCAGAAGCCAGAACAAAGAACAGTTAATTTGTAGCATGTCTTGTGATGTATGTTACATTTGAAAAATAGCATTTTGAGAAACGCATTGCACATTCTTTGGGTGTTATCTTGCCCTGTGACCTTGCAGCTGGTCAGCAAGAAAAATGGGAGTCTTGAGATGCCTGGGAACTTGCTGAGAATGTGGGGAGAATAGATAAGGTAGGTTTTAAGGAGTTAATTTTAAGCAGAGCTGGGGTAAGATTTTATATTGAGCACAACACAGTAAACTGTATTATGCAGCAATTGTAGGCTACCATTGTTCTTACTGAATTTCCCTCTTCCTTTCCCCCCTTTGTTGCTTTTTATTAACTCTTTGGTAGGAAACAACCCCATTGCTTTCAGCATTTACTAGTATTTGGAAGTTAATTTTGGTTTAGGTCACTTGATATTTCTATGAGCTTATTTATTAGTTTTATGCCTGTTTGGTTTTTGTAGCTGGATGTCAGGGCGATGGCTTAGGTGTGTTGCAGAGCTTTTTAAGACAACCCTTTTGGGAGTGCCTTTGTATTTTTGGTGAACAGCAGGCTGGTGTGTTAGCTTATTACCCTTTCTCTTGGTGGTGATCTTACCCTTTCTCTTGGTGGGTGCAGGCAGAAGCACCTCATCAGTACTGAAATGCATCTCCTGACAGCCCTGTGGAAGTCCCAGCTTCTTCTTGGCCGAGCCAACACAGCCTTGGGCTGCCTAGCTTGGAGGACGCTGGCTTCCTGTGATGATGGTTGAGCCAGGGTGCTCTGGGTGGTGCTCTGGGTGGAGGAGGCGGCCATGAGGTCATGCTGGAGGGATTGTTGAGCCAAAGGTTCTAAATCTTCACTGCCGATGGAGGCTGCTGCTATGGTGGAGGCTGCGGCCACGGGGTCACGCTGGAGGGCCTGCTGAGCCAAGGTTTCTAAATCCCCACCACTGCCGTTGGAGCCCCAAGGGAGGAGGCCAAGGGATCACCACGCTGGAGGGCCCGCTGAGCCAAGGTTTCCAAATCCCCACCGCTGCCATTGGAGCTCCCAAGATAGGAGGCCACGGGGTCACGCTGGAGGGCCTGCTGAGCCAAGGTTTCTAAATCTCCACAATTGCTGATAGAGCTTTCGATGGTCGGGGAGGCCATGGAGGCATGCTGGGGGTCTGGATTAAAACTCTCTGGCTGGTTGTTCGGGTGGTCCACAATTTGCTCTTCATAATTTGTCAGAGGTAACTCCTGGCCGTTGTTCACCCACGGGTCCTTCATGACTACTTCTACTGTTGGCCGCTCCCTGGGGTCTGGCGTTAACAGTTTTTTCATTAGGCTTTTAAGGCCTTCTGAAAAGAAGGCTGGGCAAATATAATTTCCAGATTTAATTTTTCGTTTGAGGATCATAGTACTCCATGAGGAGAAGGGCAGATCCCTGGACATCATCTGGTACAAAATGACGCCTAGGCTACAAACATCCATGGCGGGGCATTGGTAGCCCCGGCCCCAGAAGACTTCTGGGGCCATGTAGACGTAGGTGCCACAGCGTGTTGTCAGCTTCTGCCCCTCACAGTAAGTTATTGCTGAGCCAAACAAAACCTGCAATTTTTATGTTACCTTTGCTGTCCAACAGGATGTTTCCCGGATTCAGGTCTCTATGTGCTATTCGTTTTTTGTGACAGTACTGCATGGCCGACAGCATCTGTTGGAACATGGCCCGGGCCTCCTCCTCCATCACGTGGTTGCGGTACATCCACTGGTACAGGTTTCCTCCTGATGCGTACTCCATAATCAAGTGGCACACGTCTGTGGTGTCCATAACTTGATACAGCTTAATTATATTGGGGTGGTGCACAGATTTTAAAATATTCATCTCTCTCTGGCTAGTGGTGATGCAGGAGCCAGTTTCGCGGGTGATTTTCACGACCACCGGGGTCCTAGTCAGCAAGTGCCAGGCCAGCTTGACCTCACTGAAGTCACCACAGCCAATGAGGCCCAGCATTTCATAATTCTCCAGCCCCTGGTCAGGTGGGGTGGAGACCGATCCCTGCCCCATGGTGCCTGACATCTCTCTACACTACACAACTACTCTAACTATTCTAACTACACTAAAATACTAAACAATACTGACTATATTAAAGTATGCTAAAATACTGAGCAATGAAACTGACTATACTAACTATGCTAACAATGCGAACTAGAAAAACACACCAACGCCCCTCACACAAACCCTCCCCCACCCCCAACACCCCCCGCCCTCAACCCCCTACACACACACACACACACACACACACACACACAACTCGCAATCGCTAAACTGGTCTGAGTCCACAGGTCACCAAAGAAGCTTCCAGGGATCTATCAGACCAAAAACCATGACCCAGCCAGGGCCTTATACAGACCCTGACTGTAATTACATCACAAAGGCTTTTGATGACTTCAGAGCAAAGCAGGGGCCAGTCATGGCTGCGGATCATTCACAGTCCCCAAAACATCTTCCTCTTTTAAAAAGAAAAGTGCTTTTATCTAGATGGTTATAGAGATTGATATTTAGTTTCCCAGCTATTTAAACTGGTACAACCCTTCAACAGCATTTTCATTTGTAGTTTTCTTTTTTCTATAATTTTTTTATTATACTCTTAAGTTCTGGGGTACATGTGTAGATTACGCAGGTTTGTTACATAGGTTCACACGTGCCACGGTGGTTTTCAATCATTTGTAATTTCAAAATCTGAAATAGCTTTTGGATTTTGAAGATCTCCTAATGTCTACATGCAAAATATTCTATTCCTTTTCTTTCATCTCTGAATAGTTGGTCTCAACCATTGAGAAGGGAGAGAATATTTTCCTTTCCTTTAGGGTTTTTCCTTCCTCATGTGGTTGAGATTATGTAATGGACACAGAGGAAACAGAAACACCCTACCCTCCATGAGCCCATAGCCTTGTCAGGAAGGCCCCCCAGCCATGAAGCTCCTTCAGTGTGAGGAGCACAGGTGAAGCGGGGGCCAGAGAAGAGTGGCCCTGGCCACAGGTCGGCGCTGGTGAGCGAGGAAGCACGGCTTTCTGGAGGCCAGTGTGCTGAGCCCTGCGGTGTGAGGAGGGGTCGCCTAAGTGAGTAGGGACAAGGGCAGGAGGGTGGCCTCTGCGAAGGCCCAGGATGACCGAGGGTGGCTCGCTAGAGGGATGCGCTAGTCTGAACAAGTGACTGGGGCCAGGTTGGGAGCGCTTGAGTCCCAGGACAGAGGCTGAGCCTGTATTTCAGGGCCGGGGCTGTGGAATAGTTCTGAGCCCCTCGCTGGGCCACAGCCCTCAGACCCTGACTCTGCTCCTGACCTGGGAGTGAGCTCAACCGAACTTCACCTCCTCGCCAGCCTCGCTGCCTCCAGCCTTCCCCACCCACACCCCTCCTTTCAGGTTCCCAGAGGGATCCAAGGAAAAGCCACCTCTGGCCTCCACCACCCACCTGCTGGCCCTGAGACCTTCAAGGAGAAGCCCTCCTCCTTGTCCACCAGAGCTCACCTGGGCAGCCTGTTCTTCCCACGGTCCTGCCTTACAGACCACCCTCTGTGCCCGGGTGAGTCAGTCCATCATGTTTTCTACACACAGTCCCCACTGCCTGGAGTCCCCCCCTTACTCTCCTGCACTGGGTGCCCTCCTGTCCCTTCAGTCCCAGCTGAGATATCTGGCACTCTGGGGAGCATCCCTGAGCCCCAGACACAGAGAAGCCTCTTCTGCCCTGGATCCCAGAACTGCTGGTGCTTTCCTTCTGCCATGGTGCAGAAACCTCTTACCCCCCCAACACACACATGCATACTCACACCTCGCACACACTTGCTACCATCTGGGGACATGGATTTCTGCCTGCTGGACTGCCTCTCTCCCACCCCAGCCTCTTGGGGGCCCCAGGAAGAGGTGTTGCTATTAATAGTAGGGGCCCCGTAGGTGCACTGGAGGTGGGGAAGGGAAGGGCTCCCGAGGAATAGCCCTGCATGGATGACAGCCACCCCACAGAGGGCATGGCCACCAGGAAATGTAGGTCTTTCTACATTTAGGTGGAGGCAGCAGGCACAGGCTGGAAGGAGAAAGTGGGGCTGGATTCCCAGGGTTCCTAAATGCCAGGATGAGGTGCTTCTGTTGCCTCCTGGGGAGCAAGCTTTGGAAGAGACTGAGGCCCATGAGGGCAGCACTGGGGAGGCTGGTCTGGAGGGAGATGGCCCCTGAAGGGGCATACCTGTGCCTGTCCCTGTTGGCTCAGCCCTCACTGTCACCAGGAATCCCTTGGTAGGGAATGGGGGGTGTCATGTCCTTCTGTCTGGAGCCTGAACACCCAGACATGTTCCCCCCAAGATTCTGCACTTTTTTATTTTTTCAAGACAGAGTCTCACGCTGTCATTCAGGCTGGAGTACAATGGCATGATCTCAGCTCACTGAAACCTCCGCTGCCTTGGTTCAAGTGATTCTTCTGCCTCAGCTTTCTGAGTATCTGGGATTACAGGTGTGCACCACCACGCCCAGCTCATTTTTTGTATTTTTAGTGGAGACGGGGTTTTGCCGTGTTGGCCAGGCTGGTCTTGGACTCCTGGGCTCAAGTGATCCTCCCACCTTGACTTCCCAAAGTGCTGGGATTCCAGGTGGGAGCCACTGCACTTGGCCTGCTCCTGCTCTTCCATCCGTGCATTGGAGTCGCCTCTCCCTGCAGGCAGCTGCTGCACCCTGAGTGCCTGGCACAACTGTGGCCCCGAGGAGATGCTCAAACACGTGACTCCCTGGGGGCCTCGGATCTGGGTGGCTCCCTTTTGTGACATGAGGCAGGAAGCAGAGCTCTGTGGGTCATGTGCCACCCTAGGGGATGAAGGCTGTCCTTGTTCTCTTGCGAGCCAGGCTTGGCCACTCTTCCAGGGGACCCACCCCCACTTCCTAGCCTGGCCGGCATCGGCCTTCCTGTCCCTGCCCGGAGTGGTGTCTGCCACATGCTCTGAAGTTGGTCCTTTGCTTCGAGGTCTTGAAGGGCAGGGTGTATGTGAGTCACCCACCACTGGGACCTGGTAGGGTGGGGAGGCATCTAAGCGGGACTGCTGCCAACCCCCTCCTGGGCCTGGAGTGGAGGCCGGCAACTCACTCCACCTTGCGGGGGGCTGATGGAAGGCCTCAAAGAGGCCTTGGCCATCCACTGGGCTCAGGAGCACCAGGGGCTTATCAGGGCTTGTGGCTGGGAGCAAGGCCTGGCCCTGGGGCTTCTGGGCCTGCTCTTGTTGAAGGGTGGCCTGTAGGTATTGGCCCGCGGGTGTCCCATGGCCTCCTGCATCTCATGGCCTTGCCCTTCCCCTTCAGCATGACCGTCCGGTGCCTTCATCAGCCTCCACAGAGCTCGTCCTGGTAGAGGATGTGAGGGTGAGCCTGGAAGAGGTGACCATCTACAACTGTCTTGGCTTCCAGATACAGCCCTTGCCCTGCCAGCTGCCTGGGTAAGACCCACCAGGGGACCCCCTCACCCTCCAACACACAGCCCAGCTCTCCCTGAATCTGCCTCCTGCAGGTGGAGCTCCGTCTCAGGAAAGACTCGGTGACTTCTTCCTCAACACCAGTGCTGTGGACGACATCAAGACGGCCTACCAGGAAACCAGGGCCATCACCATGGTAAGTTTGGGTCATTGGTCCCCAGGGTGATTTTCATTCTTCATCTGGGCCATCGTGATGTTCATAGATTGATATTTTTTAAGCTGTCACTTAATCTCATCAGCTATAGCTAGCAAAGCTGTTAGAGTCTCTGATTTATTCTGCAACTTTAGTCATTTTCATGCTACCTTTGTGATTTTTTTTATTTTTGAGACAGGATCTCACTCTGTTGCCTGGGCTGGAGTGCAGTAGCTTACTGCAGCCTTGACCTCCTGGGCTTAAGTGATCCTCCCAACTCAGCCTTCGGAGTAGCTGTGACTACCACCACCCGGCCGCACACACCACCACACCCGGCTAATTTTTGTATTTTTTGTAGAGACGGGATCTTGCCATGTTGCCCAGGCTGGTCTCGAACTCCTAGGCTCAAGAGTCCACCTGCCCTGGCCTCTCAAAGTGCTGGCATTACCTGTGTGACCCTCCGCACCCAGGCTACCTTTATGATTTTCATTCCATGTCCACAAACTACCCACACTGTCACCTATGGTTTCCTTTCTGTCAATCTTTTCATTAAAATTAAAATGTTATTACATAAGCAGCACTCTAACAACAATAAAGAAAATTGCTTTTAAGGAGGTTGTGCCTTTCTCTGTTTCCCTAGGTTGATTTCTTGACCCTCTCCCTATTCTTGCAACTGTTGACTTATCTGTGCTCATGGCATGGAAGAATTTAGTGTTCTGTTTTCCATTATCTTATTCTATTCTCACTTTTTCTATTTCCCCATGTTGACAGGGAGGCTGGCTGATTATTTTTAATGTCATCATTTGTACTTCTGCCATTCTTTTCTAATCAGAGTGTTTGGATGGTCAGAATGTTTTTGTTCTTTCAAAAATATAGGGAAGAATAGAATGAAAAAAGTAAAAGCAAACAAACACTGACATGTCTGCGTATCTGCACGACGGGTTATCATGCAATCACAAACACAGAACTCACGTTAGAAGGGAGCTCTTACTACGGAAAGTGTAATAAGCCCTCTCTAAGTCATCAACCCAAGGCAGCCCAAAGCTCATTGGTTTGATACAACAATGGCAGTGACACCCACCCCAGCATGTCATTAAACCACTGCTGTGCTGTGGCCTTTGAGGTGCTGTGAGCCCAAGACCTGCTTTCCTCTGTTAGAAGGGGTGGTTCCACATGGTTGAGGAGTGTTGCAGTCAGGCCAGCTTCAGAGACTTTTCCCGGACCCAGTGAGGCCTGGGTTGATTCGGTGCTTGGTGTGTGGTGGGGACTGAGATGGTGCAGCTCCGTGGATGGGCTAGAGGTGCACTGACCGTGGGTCTCCTGCCATCCTGATACTCGGGTTTGCTCTTGGCTTTGCCTGGTTCATGGAAGTAGCCCTTGAAGGCTCGCAGCAGCAGGAAACAACTTCCTGGCTTCAGGAAAGGCCAAAGTCGGAGTTCACCTTTGCAGTGACCATGTCCCAGAGTCTCCTTTCAGAAACACACTCAGGGCACCTTTCTTTTGCTTTTTGCACCTACTGACTTTCTGTACATGGACTGTCTCTAAATGAACTTCCTCTAGGGCACGATAGGTGTAAAGTCGGTGAGGGGAAGCAGCGGGGTGTGAGGAACAGCTGGAAGTGCTATGCTAAACAGACCTGGCCCCAAGGTGCAGTGTTGGGGAGTAACAGGGGAGGTGGAGACTATGGCAAACGAGCACACTGGCCAAGTCTAAGGGCAGCCACCACGCCCCTCTAGCTGATTTCTGTTGTTCTTAATCACATCTATGTCGAGGTGATTCACATACCATGCAATTCACACACCTAAAGGATACAGTTCAGGGTTTTTTTGTACATTCTAGAACATTCACAGCGTTGGGAACCATCACCAAACACATCCTCCCCTCTGCTCCCCTCTCCTCTCTTTTCTTTCTTCCCTTCCCTTTTCTTTCTTTCTTTCCCTTCCCTTCCCTTTTCTTTCTTTTCTTTTCTTTCCAGGGTGTCACTATGTAACCCAGGCTGGAGTGCAGTGCTGCCAGCTCAGCTCACTGCAACCTCTGCCTCCCAGGCTGAAGCCATCCTCCCACCTCAGCCTCTTGAGTAGCTGGGATTACAGGTTTGCGCCACCAAAGCCAGCTAACTTCTATATATATATTTTTGCAGAGACAGGGTTTCGCCATGTTGCCCAGGCTGATCTTAACCTCCTGAACTCAAGAATCCACCAGCCTTGGCCTCCCAAAGTGCTGGGATTACATGTGTGAACCACTACTGTGCCCGGTCAGATCAGGCACTTTCTAGACCTTCCTAAAAGTTGTGTCTTGGATTTTGCTTTCCTCTACTGCTAGGTGAGGTCCATACAGCTACCCATGACTAACTCTGAAAGTTGTTGATACATGGCAGTGCACTGAGAAAGTTCATACCTCACAGTGAATTTATGTGAGCATAAATTAAATAACTGATTTCATTGGTCCTCCATATATCTTTCTTTCTAAAATTCTTAATAAAGTATGGTTATTTTGTATGCCAGTGCAAACAGATTTTAACATTTGGATATATATTTCTTTGAAAGCTAGGATATGTTTTCTAATGCTCTTTCATTGAAGTCAGCTCCTAACATTCAGCATAAATACGAGTTATGAATCCCAGTTATGTACCTGAGCCTCACTCTCCCTCCCTGAGCCCTGCACTCTGCCCTGGGCCCTTCCTTGGCAAGTGAACAGATGAATGGGAGCCACTGGGGGCAGGAGCACTGGACTGGGAATCAGATTTGGAGTATAATCCAAACGCCCCACAGGCCCACCGCTTCTCAATAGTTTGAAGCTGCCCCAGCTGGTTTCCATAACAACCTCAAATCAGACAATGCTCCTTAGTTGGCTAGAACCTATTAGTAAAGGTCAAAGGGAGTGGGGTGGGGGCAAGAATAATGGGGATGTCATAGTGATGGGGGGGCAAGAATAATGGGGATGTCATAGTGATGGGGGGCAAGAATAATGGGGATGTCAGTGATGGGGGGCAAGAATAATGGGGATGTCATAGTGATGGGGGGGCAAGAATAATGGGGATGTCAGTGACCAGCAGAAGAGGAAGCCAGAGTTTTCCACTTCAGGTGATGGTATTGGTGGTGGCACTTCCAGAGGGGGCACAGCAGCTTGGCAGAGGGACAGCCTCAGAGGTGCTCTTGGGGAGCTCAAGCGGGGCCCACAGGGACCTTCTCTCTGGGGTTGCAAACTGGCATCGGGTGGAGGGAGAGTCAGTATTCACACCCCGGGGGAGCCTCACCCCCAAAGTGGATTTTAAGGACAGCAGCACACTGGGGAGACAAGGGCCCCACATCACTCCCACCCTCTCCCCAGCGGCTTCTTGCTTCCTGGTCCTGCTCTTTATTGAGGACAGAGAACCTTATGTGACTGGTGGAACTCCAGGACCGTCCCTGGCCAGCATCGGTAGTGGGCAGGGTCACCACCTGTTCAAGGCTGTGCACACCAAGCCCCGGCCATGCATGATGGCAGGGCCTTCTGGACCTTGCTCAGGCTCCCTAGGGGCCCACAGGGAAGCTCTCTGATGGGTGCTGATGGGTGTCTGTATCAACAGATTCACTGCTTGGCACAGAAACACAGGGTTCCTGGGAGGCTGGAACCTGCCTTATGAAAGCCCCGGTTCCCATCACCCCCTCCATCCCTGGGGGCTGCTGTGTCTTGCCATCAACCCTCCCCTGACCCTCAGGACACCTGCCTCCCCCAGAAGCCGCCCACATCGAGCTGGGCTTGGCTGAAGGCTCACTCCTCCATCAGACCTCTGAGGGGGACCACTTTGTGCTGCTGTTATCAAAAAGGGGAAACCATTCACAGCAGAAAGGCCAATGCCACACTAGACAGCCAGGAACCCAGCAGCACAAGTGGCCTCCTTAGGTGCTTTGGGGACCACACCCCCACCACTGTGACTCCAGCACAATCCGGTTCCCAGGACTTCTCCTCCTGGGAACCCCTCAGCATGATTAACACGGGCAGACGGGACCTGAAGGGACTGTTGGTCCTCCTGAAAATGCTCACCAGGCAGTGTGAGTGTGGGGAGGCCATGTGCAATGTGTGGGACTCTGCCCTGCACCTGCTCAGAGCCTCAGCCCTGTAGAGACACTGGGAATGATTTGCTGCAGGTGATGCTTCTCTGAGGTCTCTTTTCCTTGCAGTTTTTCTGAGTAACTTCGAGGACCCACGTGACTGTGTGCCGAATAAGCTAGGGTGTGCACAGGCCCCGTCCTGTGCAGGGCGGGCACAAAGCAGCAGAGCATCTGCCACCCACCTGCCACCTTTCCAATGCTCCTACAAGATTTGCAAGAAACTGTTGTTTATCAGAAATCATCTTTATTAGGCTGGGCGCAGTGGCTCACGCCTGTAATCCCAGCACTTTGGGAGGCCGAGGCGGGTGGATCACGAGGTCAAGAGATCGAGACCATCCTGGTCAACATGTGAAACCCTGTTTCTACTAAAAATACAAAAAAAACCACGCTGGGCATGGTGGCATGTGCCTGTAATCCCAGCTACTCAGGAGGCTGAGGCAGGAGAATTGCCTGAACCCAGGAGGCGGAGGTTGCGGTGAGCCGAGATTGCGCCATTGCACTCCAGCCTGGGTAACAAGAGCGAAACTCCGTCTCAAAAAAAAAATCTTTATTTAAAAAATAGAGCAGGGCAAAATAGAAGTGCTCTGACATTGCTGGGCACACAGCAGTGTGGGCATCTCACCCGGCTCCTCCCCGCAGCCGTTGGCATCCACTCTCAGGTTTCCATGTTCCTGGACCTCAGCATGTCCCTGAGCCTTCGTCCTCTCCAATCTAAATGCAGAGACAATTGACATGGACTGTCTCAGGTGTTTTGCAAAATGCTATACATTCTCATTGACTCTGGTCACCCTGCTGTGCTCTAGAGTCAAAACCTCTTCCTCCTGTCTGGACTTTGGTCCTTTGTCCAACACTCCCCATCCCCTCCCTCTGCCACTCTCTGGCCCTGGGTCACCATCCATCTACTGCTACTTCAATGGGGTCGACTTGTTTAGATCAACACTTCCGGGGCATCACGAGGAACTGGTCTCTCTGAGGTGGTGGAGAGGCTGAGTAGTGGGATTTCCTCATTCCACGGTGCACACATCTATCTTATTCTCACATTGCACCCCATGAATGTACAAGCATGATTTGCCAATTAAAAGAATACTAATAAAGACAGGATAAATAGAGTAAAATGCCAGAAGTGCGGCTTCACCGCCCCATCTACTTGATTTTGTCTTCAGCCATGCAACTATTTTGGGGTAATTTTTTATTTTTTTTGAGATGGAGTCTTGCTCTGTTGCCAGGCGGGAGTGCAGTGGCATGATCTTGGCTCACTGCAACCTCCACCTCCCAGGTTCAAGCGATTCTCCTGCCTCAGCTTCCCGAGTAGCTGGTGCCCGCCACCATGCCCAGCTAGTTTTTGTATTTTTAGTAGAGAGAGAGTTTCACCATGTTGGCCAGGATAGTCTCAGTCTCTTGACCTCATTATCTGCCTGCCTCAGACTCCCAAAGTGCTGGGATTATAGGTGTGAGCCATCGCGCCTGGCTGGGATGATCTTATTTCTCCTTTTCTTTGGTGGACACAAGCAACAAAATTTTAATAGAATGGAAAGCCATCTCCTCGCATCCCTGCGGTAGCCCCAGCTTCTTTTTGGCCAGGCCAACGTCACAGCCTTGGGCTGCCCAGTTTGGACGACGCTAGCTTCCTGCAATGGTAGTTGAGCCAGGGATGTTTCTGGGTCTCTACCACTGTTGCCAGTGCTCTGGGTGGAGGGGGAGGCCACAGGGTCATGCTTGGGGGCTTCACTAAAGCTGTCTGGCTTCCTCTGCAGGCTGGCGGATGCACTGGCAGGAGAGGTGGTGTTCTGCTGAATGTTGAATATGGGACAAGTTGGCTTGCTGCGGGCCCGCTTCAGTGGGAGAGGGAAGGCGGAAACTTCCGTGGATAGAGGACAGGTGGGAACCCCAGGAGGAAGGGATCATCATCTGATGACAGACTGTTTTTGTTTGTTCTAAAATGAGGCAGGTGGCCATAGGATAGTTAAATGCTTTTTCTTTGATTGACACAGCGATGCTTTTGGCCTGGAATCCCATGGCTACCATGAGCTGAGTTGCTTAGGGGTTCGGGTATCCAGGAGTGGCTCTTTGTATGTTGTCAGTGGCATATCTTGGCCACAGTTCACCCATGAGTCCCTCACAACTTGTTTCGGTGGGGGCTGCTCCTTGGGATCTAGAGTTAGTAACTTTTGAATGAGTCCTTCAAGTTGAAGGGGAGGAAAGCAGTGGGGCTTGGTAGCTTTCTGCAATAATTTTATCCTTGAGGTCCATCGTGTTCCCTGAGTAGAAGGGCAGGGCCCTGGCCACCATACGTTCCATACATCCATGGTGGCACACTGGTACCCCTGGCCCAGGAAGAGTTCTGGGCAGGAATGGTGGCCTTCTGCCCTGACTTCTTGCCCTCCTTGGGCAGTCAAAAATTAAAAATGTGAACAGCCGGCTCCCCTTGAGCCTCTTTGGTTTCACAAGGAAGGCGGACTTTGTCAGGTGGAAGAGCAGGAGAGACCCCCCAGGAGGAAGGGACTGTGCTTAAATGACGGACTTTTCCATATTCCAGGTTTAGGTAGATGGGATGATCATAAACATATTTTTTGTGGGGGAAATACTGATTCCAAGATGTGTGCTGCCTGGAATCCCATGACCACCATGGTCACAGGTGCCCAGGGTCTCTGGTGTCAGCAGTGTCTCCCAGCCACCATTGACCCAGGGGTCCCACGTCAGCTGGTTCAGTGGGGGCCACTCCCTGGGGTCGAGGCTGAGGAATTGCTTTACTAGTGTTTCCCGTGGAAACAAAAAAATAGGTGGGGAGTGATAGTGTCATATAGCCTGAGGTTAGAAGGGACCACGGGTGGGGCTGGATGTTCTTTCAGCCTCCCTCACAGACATCACAGACAGAGCACTCAGCTTGGCCAAGCTTCTGCGGTGGCTGGCTGTGATGTCCGGGAGGGAGGCAGTCTCCATGCAGGAATGCCTTCCCTGGGGCTCCTATCCTTGAGAGGAGGAGTCGGCCATCCTCCCCTCACAGCCTCCTTCACTGCAGCCCATGGGAGCCCAGTGACAATGGAGGATCCGTGCCCCAGGGGCACACCTCTGGGCTCTGGCTTAGCCCCACCCCGGGAAAACATTCACAGCCCCTCCGGAGGAGAGCCCTGCTGCAGGAAGATTCTAGGGCAGGGCCCAGGTGCAGAGTGACAGTACCCCAGGCCCAAAACTCTCACTTTCCTGGTTACAACAGATTGCCACCACACCCTGCCCTACTGCCCGCCCCGCGGGGAAGTGGTCCAGGAGTGGAGGCGTGGACAGGCATCCCGGTGTCTGGAGTCCGGGCCAGCCTGGACAGCACGGCCAGCGCGGGGCA